GCGATTTTTTTGTTAGAATATATCACTTAAATGGAGTCTTGGAAAACTCCTTGCTTCACCATTAGTGCTATGAGAAAAATACTGGCATAGAGCAAGACGATGTTTTAGACTCTGAGAGCCATAGACAGTGATTCTCCTATGAGCATTTAGTTTTTAAACAGCCTTTTAAAATGTAAGAACAAGTTTTAAGGTTGAACATTGTGGATACACACAGTCCCAGAATTTAAGAAGCTGCGGTAAGGGGATTACAAGTTCAGGGCTAGCTCAGCTACTTGGTGAGAACCTGTCTCAACAAAGGTTAGCTCTTGGCTGGTAGAAAGGTGACTAGTTAATCATGCCATTTTCAGAGTTGCAGAGGTCTGGTGATGTGGCTCAGTGGTAAAACACGCAGTAGGCTCGAGGCCCTGGCTTCTACCCCAGCACTGCCCACCCAACCCCCAAATTGTTTGGTTTGCATTTTGCACCATAGGAGATTCAGTCTAGGGCATCAATAGGTAGACACCACTGAGCTGTACCCCCCAGCCTTTTTAAAAAGAATTAATTATTTTATGTGTATTAGTGTTTGGTCTACATGTGTCTGTGCTCTATGCATGTGAATGCCGAGTGCCCTCAGGTGAGAAGGTGGCCCTCTTGTACTGGAATGACAGATAGTTGTGAGCCACTACGTAGGTCTTGGGAATTGAATCCAGATTCTCTACAAGAGCAAGTGCTCTTACCCACTGAGCCAACTTTTCCAGGTCCCCCTTCCTTTTTTTTTTTCATTTTGAGACAGTGTTTCTCAGTTTTTGAGATCTGCCTGAACTCATGGTAGCCTAGATAGTCCTTGAACTAGTGATCCTCCTGCCTTAGCCTCCCAGATAACTGCTGATAATAAACAATTCAGTTTGTAATCCACTCATGAAGACACATACTGTTAGTCCCAAAGCTCAGGAGGCAAAAGCAGGTGGGTCTCTGAGTTTGAGGCTATCCTGGTTTACATAGTTGAGTTCTAGTCTAGCCAAGGCTACATTGTGAGACCCTGAAGAAAGGAAAAATTAAACAGAATGCACCTTGTTTATTATTGCATTTATATGTTATTTGAATTAGTTGCATCCACTTTGCAGAATAATTCAACTTTAAAAGAGGATAATTCTCTGTGTGTACTTAGGACGAAATGTTACAGACATTAAATATGTCTGAAGGATATGCATGGGCCTGCTGAGTAAAGGCAATTGCTGCCAAACCTAATGACGTGAGTTCAGTCTCTGGGACCCATATAGTGGGTTGTCTTCTACCTTCCACACGGAACCTCTGCCCCAAACATACACACAGAGGATAAGTAATTTTTTAAAACAATGTTCAGCATTCTGATATACAGGCTTGTGACAGACTAGAGTAGGTTCTGCCTCAGGGATTCCTGAAAGTGTGTTAGGTGCTTTGAACAGAACTTACCTTTACTTTGAATGCCATTTCTCAAAGAATTTTCTTTTGTGGAAAGAGTTTTGCTTGCTTGCTTGATTTAAGGCAGTGTGGTGGCGCATGCTTTGAACAGAGGCAGGTGGATCTCCTGAGTTCAGAGTGAGCCTGCTCTAGTGATTTCTAGGCCAGCCAGGGCCACACAGTGAGATCCTATCTCAAAAACAAAAAAGAATTTAAGCAGTGAAGTAGTGGCAGACATCTTAAATCCCAATACTCAGGAGGAAGAGGCATTCAGATCTCTCTATACTTGAGGCCAACCTGGTCTGCAGGACAGCCAGGGCTACACAGAGAAAAACCCTGTCTCAAAAAAATTTTAAAACACATTGTGAGGCTCAGACTGTAGTTCCAAGTTATAAGTATAGCAAAACAGATAAAGAAATAAATGTATTGGTAAGAAATTTAGGGATAAAGCTTTCATCTATATTAAACATGATTCATGGTTATATTATATATTTACTTATATTTAAAACATTTTGTTTTATTTCTAGGATCCCGGGGGGCTTTCTGTGAAGTAAGACCAGATGATAAAAGAATTCTGGAATTTTACAGCAAGTTAGGCTGTTTTGAAATTGCAAAGATGGAAGGATTTCCAAAGGATGTGGTTATACTTGGTCGAAGCCTGTGACGTTGGTTGGCACTGTGAACTGTCCAGAGTCTCTTAACCCCACCTTGTGGTTGGTGGTTGAGGTCTTCACACAGTTCAGTGTCTGGAGCCGTGACAGATAAGCCAGTTGAATTGGAAACAAAGATGACTATAGAACTCACCATCCCCTGTTCAGACTGCTCACTGGTTGGAAGATAGTACTGCTGCATATCCTGCGGGAAAAAGATGTGGTGTGCCTCTCCTTTGGGTCTTGTGTTAGGTGTCAGGACCTCTTATGGGGCTCTGTAGGGAGAGGGTCTCAAATAAATGTAGTCAGCACTATTTTCTGCATCCAGTGTGGTTGCATTTCTCACCTACGAGTAATGAAGATCACTCTTTGTTCTCCGTGGTGCTGAATGAACTGTCTCTGTTCTTTGGAGACATGGCAGGAATGACAAAGAATTAGTGGGGTTCCAATTTGGGGCAATTTTTCTGCTTTTTGTAAAGCTCTGGCTAACTATCTCCTATAATGTTGGTTCAGGCAGTTGTGCTTTGTAGGGACAAATGTGCATTTGTTTGTGGCAAAGGCCTAAATGGACAAACTTGTAAATTTCTTTGTATATAGACTATAGCTGTAACCTGACTGTTCTTTTTGTTTACTGTTTTTATATTTTTTTTTTCCTTTGAAAATGAAAGGTGTTGGTTTAGGGTGGCACTTTGAATAATGTAAACCAGTGGATGGTAGATTTCCTTTACGTTTGTCTTTAAAATGCCTCCCACATAGGAATAGGCCACGACTATTGGGGGGAGTGTCAGCTTTATAGGACTCAAATCTATTGGGAAGTGCATTACTTCTGGAGGTTAACCTTCATTGCAGATACGCATGTGAAATGTTCTGACATTGTTGTCATGTAAGGGTAAGTAAAGGGACTGACTCGTCTCTTCTGCCCTTAGAGCAGTTGTCATTTTATCTCAAGACCTGTTAACTACTGGTTTAATTGAATCAGTCTTTAATTCTTGCATGTTTGTATCTAATTTTTAAAAGAAAGAATAAGTATATGTTAACCATAAGTATACTTTTTCTTTTAATCAGAAGTTCTGAAAACTTCATGTATTTTAATTTAGATTTGGTGAATTTAAGGGTTTGAGCATGAAGCTGGCAGATGGTCTCTGCAGGGTTTTTTTTTTTTTTTAAATCATGGCTAGCTAGTGTCTTCTCTCTAGATTTCAACAGTATTTTGTTATCTTCTCTCAAGTTTTTCATCAGCTTTTGAACTCTGAGCTGAGGGGGGAGAGAGAAAAAGGAAACTTGAACATTTACTTTTATAGAACTCCAGTGTGAGCTTTTGAGATAGTCTTAAATTTAGCACTAGTGTACCTGGTGACTTCCAACTGAGGCCCAGGAGAGAGTGCTTGCTTAGAAGCCTCTTAGGGTAAAAACCTGTGATAGGCTATGTTGGAAAACTGAAATCAAGTTTGGTTTTGAAGGCTGAGGTGAAGGGCAAAATTTTTACTAGATACTAAAACCATTTAATGTTCCTCACCTTTCTCTTGAGTACAGCCCCATACTCTAGTGGGAATTACCACCTTTTATTTGGAGGGTTTCAGAGTCAGTTTCTTATGGAATCAGGAATTTTAAACAAGTTGCTTTTTGTTTCATGTTGGCTTTCAGTAATCACTTTGAATGATCTGAACATACCTGAAACATGTCCAGGTTTATACCATCATCGCTCTGGGATAAAGTGCTGTGCCAACTTACATGGTTATGAATATTAAGGTTGGAATATCATTTCATTGATTGTTTGAATCACAGCTCAGTTTCTGTAGAAAACAAACTGTAAAACTATCTGAAGACCATGCAAGAGGCAAAATAAAACTTGAAGTGAATTTGTGTGATAGTGTTCGACTTTTCTCTGCTCTCCGTCTGTTTCCCATCTCTTGATGCCTCAGCTAAGGCAAGCAATCTTCTCCCCAAAGCTGTTTCAATGTAGCCTGGAATTTGAAGACAGCGCTCCTTCCTGCCTTCCTCAGCAAAGAACTAACTTGCAGTTTTTCTCAGAAAGGTTCCTTTGTCTTTAGTTAGTTGCCCTCCTACTACAGTTACAATCTGTGAAGTAGAGGGGTTGCTTCTGAGTTTCTCTGTAGGGAGTGCAGTTGTTCTCCTTAAATAGGGGATACTGGTGTGGGGGTGTGTAGCCTAAGTTCTGTGAGGAGAGTCCTAAGGAGGAGGGTGTGCCTCAGCTGCCGGGAAGTGGGGCTCCAGGGCGGCTTGGATAGGAGCAGCGTCCATCCCGATCAGGGAGCTTATCTGAGGGGCGTCTAGCGCGGCCAAGGTGAGGGTGGGAATCCCTGAGGAAGGGGAGGATGGCTGCCCTGAACCACAGCGTCTCTGGACGAGGAGGCACGGAGGCGTATGACAGTAAGGTCGCTCCGTAACTGCGGGGTGGAAGAGAGGGTCTCTGGATGTGACGAGCTGTCTTCTGAGGCCGGGC